GCGTGGAGACCTCTGAAGGGGGCCTATAGGGATGCTGGAGAGGGACTCTTCATTAGGGACTGCAGTGATGGGACAAGGGGTAACGGGTTCAAACTTAAACAGGGGAAGTTTAGATTGGATATAAGGAAAAAATTCTTTCCTGTGAGGGTGGTGAGGTACTGGAATAGGTTGCCCAGGAAGGTTATGAATGCTCCATCCCTGGCAGTGTTCAAGACCAGGTTGAACAAGGCCTTGGGTGATATGGTTTAGTGTGAGGTGTCCCTGCCCATGGCAGGGGGTTGGAACTAGATGATCTTAAGGTCCTTTCCAACCCTAACTATTCTATGATTCTGTGAGCGGTCCAAAAAAGTACACGCCTCTAAAGAACATAGTGTCTTCACAGTAAAGAAAATGTAGAGGTAGTGTTTTCACATCAAGTGTTAAATCCTCCAAGGTATCAAGTGTCTGCTTGCATAATTGTAGCTGTTGTCAGGAAGCAGATTTGGGAGGTAACTGACTTGTCGTTTTTTACTTATTGTAAACATTACAGCTGACCATGATTTTAAGGTCCTTTCCAGCCCTAACTATTTTATGATTCTAAATGCCATAGTATTATGGGGAAGGGGGTTTTATTTAAATGGTTGAATTTTTTGTGTTTTGCTCACCTCTGGCATAGTGCTGGAGAGAAACATTAAAAAAAATGTTGTACTCTGAAAGTGTGAATATGCTTTTCTTTCCTTATCTGTATGAGGAAGTGTTCTCTTTCTGATGATGGTTCCAGTAGCTGTCTGTGGTAATGAAACTATCTTGTTTCCGTCATTTTATTGTGCTTGTAATCTCACTTGTTTAAAGTAGGTCTCTGAAGCTAGAGGATATCTTATTTCCAAGGTCATAGCAAATCACAAACCTTGTGAAAAGGCACACGTCTTTCCGAGTTTCATTACTTAAATGTATACCTCGTCTGTATGCTTTGTACCCGCAAGAGATGCGTGTTGTATCATAGCACTTGACTGCTGCCTTGTCTGAAGATCCAGCAGGAAAACTGGACCAAATATGTGGAAAGGTGTGGCAGCAGTGCTTGGTGCCAGCTGATATCCATGCAGCTTAACTAGCAGTCCCTGTGATGCCATTCCCATCTTGCATGGGACCAGAGGAATTCCACAGTTCTGTGCTGATCTGCCTGGGAGATTTATTAGCAGAGCAGAGTTTGTTGCTCAAACAGATATTCTTTTCTCCTCTAGGGAAAAGGTTGGCTGGATCAGGCCAGTTAGCCTTCTGTTCCAGCAGTTAGACTGTACTGAATTAAATGATTTCCTGAGGTTCTCCCAGCTGTATTTTCTATTGTCAGTGCTATCTTCGGCCTTCCTCTGGTATTTAGACAGCAGTTGTCCACAAGCACTGCAGGGTCTTGTGAAATGAGGGGTAGGAGAGAGATCTATCACAGATCAGGGGGAGCTGTCACCCCCTGGTGAAACATGCCTTTCTGGTGATCACATATCCACAGTCGTTGGGTTTCTATTCGTGTGTTATGTGCCAGTCTATTCTGGTAGTTAGGTACAAGGCCTGAGGCTCATTAAGACCCTTCTGAGAGTTGTGCTTGTGTGTAAGCTTTACTTCCATTGTTCTCCAGCCTTTTGAGACCTACCTTGGTAAGGGATCAGCAATGCTGCTAATTACTCTGTCCCTCCCTCCCCCGACTCTCCAGACTTCTCTTACAGCTGTTGAGATTGCAAGCAAGTTTGACATATTTGGGTATGCCAGTTGTCTGGAGTGGCCAGAGGTACTGGTAGGAACAATGTGTCTGTCTTTGTGGTGGTGTGGGTTTTTAAACTAGTTAACTTGTGTTAAAGTTGAGTTCAGCTCCTTTTTTCCAGAGCTTGTGATGGGGAGTCTCTGTGCCCATATCTGCTTTTTAGTGTTGATGGCATAGCTCCATGTTAGTTTCTGGTTTTAAATTTCCTCAGTTAGTAAGAAACTGTTCTTTTCCTTAACAGTTGGTTAATAATCAGTGCTTCAAATTATTCCTGAATTGCAGATGAATCTGGGAAATTGTTCATAGACATTTTAATAATGATGTGGTAGGAAGGAAGCAGTATGATTCAGGTCTTAATTTTTGAACCTCAAATGGTATTTCGTAGCGCAGCAATACATACACTAGATTTATCAAGCTGTGTAGCTGCTCTTTGCAGTTTGTGGTGTTTCAAGGTTATTTCTGTTACAGATTTGGTTTACAAAGAATGATTCTAGCTGGAATACTTGATACAGAGGTTTATGTAAAAAATACACAAAGGGAGCACGGAGAGGTGGGAAGGCTTGGAAACATGTTTCCTGGGTGTTGTAAGAAATTAGTTCAGTTAAGTAACTTACAATTGTAAATGTAAATGTTTTCATTTGGGCTATGATGATACAGTAGTAATGGGAATTATTTGGCTGTCTGCTGACAAGACAAAAGAAAAATACTGATTTGCTGTTACAGAGGTAATGCGGGGGGGGGGGGGGGGGAGCAGGCAACCCTGAACAACCTTGGCAGATCTTCCAGTTATGTAACAGTGGTGTTTGTTAACCACGTGCATTGCCTCTTTCTCAGTACCACCCTGTCTGGGTGGTATTGATTTCTTATTGATTCCTTGTGGGCTAATAAACAGTGGCTGTGTGGTATTGTACACTGCATTTTAAGATAGAAGTGATTTTTTTTTCATTAGCTTTAGAACTAAGCTTTAATATTTTGTTGATGAAATGTGGCTAAAAGTTTAACTAATAACTCTTCATTGTTTGCCTTGGCAAAATGATGAATGACATTGCGCTAAATTCTAGCACAAAATCCTGAGGCTGTTCAGAGATGCTGGTTTAGCATTACTTTTTTTGTTGTTTTTTTAAAATATTTTGATTCTGAATTGCACAAGTTCTAACCTGAAATTTCTCTCTTTGCCTATGCTTAGAATTGTGGTGATGGCGGTTTGGTTGGTTTTTTTTTTGTTTTTTTTTTTTAGGTTTGTTTTTTGTTTTGGGTTTTTTTTAGGGTTTTTTTTTTTTAAGCTAAGATTTGATAAAAGGTTGCTGCTTTGCTTATAAAAGAACTATATATGCTATATGCTGCTATATCTGAACAGATACTAGCAAGCAAGTGCGTACTCCTTTGTATAAAACCTGAGTCAGTGGTGTGTGGGCAAGAGAAACATACCTGGGTGGTTGGGGTGTTCATTTGTTGTTGTTTTGCTGCTTGATTTAGGAAAATCTGTTTGGTAGCAAATCAGTGACCTGCTTTATGTTTTTGCTAACTTTCCTGGTGATAGAAAGTAAGGCAGACATCAGAAATACTTCTTTTATTGGCAGTTTTCCTTTTGATAATTTCTTTTCATATCACTTCATCTGTCTACTCTTATTTTTCTTGGTTCCAGAAGGATGTCTTACTTTCCATTCCCTTATAATTAATAATATTCAATCCTTGTAGCATTTTGATTCAAAAGTGCCTGTCATGGTTTAAACCCAGTCAGGTAATTCATTCGCTCACTTCCCCCCCTTTCTTGCCCTCCCCCTGCTCCCAGAGGGACGGAGAGGAGAATCGAAAAGAATGCAACTCCCACGGGTTGAGATAAGAACAGTTTAATAACTAAGGTATAACACAAATCACTACTGCTACCATCAATGATAATAATGATAAAGGAAATAACAAGGGAAGAGAATACAACACCTCAGCACCAGCTGACCGATAACTCGCCCCCCAAGCCCGACCAAGCTCCGACCGATACCTCCTCCAACCCTGCAGTCTCCCAGCCCTTCCGGCTCACTCCCAGTTACATCCTGGGCATGACGTGCTGTGGTATGGAATACCTCTTTGGTCAGTTTGGGTCAGGTGTCCTGTCTCTGCTTCCTCCTGGCTTCCCCTCCTCCCTGGCAGAGCATGAGGCTCACAAAGTCCTTGGCCAAACCAAAACATCGCTATCAGCTCTGTTCCCGAGCTGAAAGTTAAAACACTGCACTACACCAGCTACCAAGGAGGAGAAAAATGACTGCTACTGCTGAACCCAGGACAGTGCCAAGTAACAAAGACCTCTCAGGTTGCCCTCTGTTGAGGTCTTTCATTGTAATTTCTCAATGCATTAAAGATGTTACCTTCTCTGTCAATATAACCTCTAGGTAGGCAATGAATGATACAAATCGGGGTTAGGAAAGGGTCCTTGAGAAACAGTCGGCACTCTTCCAGTCCAAATTGACTTCTAGAAGTTTTTTTCCTGCTTTTAAAGGATGGAGCTGCTTGGTAGGCAGGCTGGAGGCAAGTTATAAATGCTAAACTATGCCCAGTAATGCACAGAGTTTCCCAGGCTGAGATGTGACTGGATAAGTTTGCATGGTACCATGCAGCTCTGTACAGATCAGCTTGTGTGAAGGTGCTGTAATACGGGTGTGTAGTATTACTTAGCAATGTGCAAGAGCTGTATTGCATGCAGTGTCTGACTGTACCCTGAGCCATTCGTCCATTTTTTTTCTTGAGGCTGTGGCAGCTCAGATGTTTCTGTGTAGTCATTGTGTATCAACCCATAGTCCACTGAACTTGGAAGAAGACGTGCTTGTGATACAGGTTTTGTATGAGGCCTTGTCTATGCAAAAATATTTAACGTTTGCAATTAATACTGTAAAAAAAAAAAAGTTTTAGTGGAGTAAGCACAACAGCCCTTCAAAAATTGTCTTTTTATTTAAATGTAGTTGGTGCTAATTGACTCATTTGTAATGAAAAAGTGGACCATTAAAATAAAAAGCTAAATTAGTCTTCAGTGAGAAAGGTAACTATCTTGATTTTATTATATTTTTAGCTGCATAACAACAGAAATGGTTTTAAGTGACTTTTACATGGTAGAGACCAGCTGTCATGACTCAGTCCTCTATGTAATGTCAGGGCTACCCTCCTCGTGTAGTTACTCCTCGTTTAGTTACACCTCTACTAGTGGTATTTACCTAGCACAAAAGTTTTCATATGCCTGTTCCAGTAGAGAACACTAACTTCTGTTTTTGTTTTCTTTTAGGTTATGTTTCACACTATGTGCTGACTGTCTGTACTTACAGAAGATATTTAAAAACAAACAGACTTTTTTTCAAACATTTTGATTCCAGTGGAATCTGTGCTTTAGATTTTTGTCTTGTCAATTAACTCCTGAAACAATGCCTGTACAAGCTCCACAATGGACGGATTTTCTCTCCTGCCCAATTTGCACACAGACTTTCGATGAAACAATCCGAAAGCCTATCAGCTTGGGTTGTGGCCACACTGTCTGCAAGATGTGCCTCAACAAGCTCCACCGTAAGGCATGCCCTTTTGACCAGACCACTATCAATACAGACATTGAACTCCTTCCTGTGAACTCAGCCTTGCTGCAGCTAGTGGGTGCTCAGGTAAAAGTGCCTTTTTAAATCTTTCTGTGGTGTTTTCCTTCTTTCTTTTAAGAGGTCATGAATAAAAAAATATGACTGTGTTAATAGTATGTAGGGTAGGCATCTTTTTGTGAATTTTGACAAATGCATGTTTTAGACCTTTTGACACGCTGTAGTGAAGATGCCTCAAACAACAGTTCATATCTTGATTCTAGTGGTTGCTGACTGTGATTTTGTATTAAATTTAGTGTAACTGTGAGCTGTCACCAGAATAAGTTTGTTTGTGTTCACTTCTCTAACACATATCTAGCCATGCTCTGACAAAAGGGTGAACTGGATCAGTGAGCATATCTGGTGGGAAGTGATTCTTCTGTGGTAGGTTACTTGCTTTACCACATTCACCCTACCAGCTTGCTACCAAAGTTCCAAAAGCAGGAGAGGAGAGGAAGGCGATGTAGTTTAACCCCAGCGAGCAGTAAATACCACACAGCTGCTTGCTCACTGGGGATGGGCAGGAGAATTGGAGAAAAGGTAAAAATTTTTGGGTCCAGGTAGGAACCTTTTAACAATTGAAATAAAGTAAAATATAATAATAGGAAATAGAGGAATAAACCCCCCCAAAAAGACAAGTGATGCACAGTACAATTGCTCACCACCTTCTGAGTGATACCCAGCCAGTTCCCAAGCAGCAGTCAGCCCCTTCTGGGTAACCCCTCAGGTTATATACTGAGCATAACATGCTGCGGTGTGGAATACCCCTTTGGCTAGTTTTGGTCAGGTGTCCTGTCTCTGCTCCCTCCCAGCTTCTTGTGTCCCTCCTCATTGGCACAGCATGAGAGGCTGAAGCTTTTGATCAGGGTGAGCACTACTTCGCAACAACTAAAACATTGGTGTGTTATCAGCATTACTGTCACACTGAAGTCAAAACACAACGGTGCACCAGCTACTAGGCAGAAAATTAACTGTCTCAGCCAAACCCGGATGTAAGGGAAGTGGGATAGACCCCTCTGGTAGCAGCCTTTATACTGCTTTATATTTAATTTGAAACTGTGCTCTGGAAATGCCACTGACTGATGTGACATGCTACTCTAAATCCACACAGGTGAACGGGGGAAGTCTGCATGAGACAGAGTTGCCCCTTTCTGCTGGAACAGGTACTTGTGAGGTCAGCTGAACTGGTGATCTGATAGGAATGAGTACAACAATGGCATTGGTACTAATGGCAGCCTGAGGAATGGGCTAGGGATGTGGAAAGCAGGATCACCCTGTTCAGTTGCAGCGACTTAAATTTATGTAAGCTTATCATGGTTAGATCACTGGTAGTTTCCTGTGACCCATGCCTCCCAGGGCTTGACAGGATTGTGGACTTGGGGAGAGGAGGTACAATCATGTCTAACTTATGGGTGAGGAACAAGGCTGTAGATGGAATATGGTTATCATAGAGGAATTACTGTTTTATTCTGTTCTGCTTCTGTGTCTGGGCTCAGCACAGTTGAAGGAAGCAGAAAATTTAATGAGATCCATAGTTAATGAAAAGGGAGGAGCTATGTTGTGGAGGAATATTAAAAGTTGGGGAGGAAAGAAGGATTGTTACGATGCAGGTAGTGGGACCTAGAGATCCGGATGTGCTTTTGCCACTTCTTTTTCCATTTAGTTTATCAAGTAATATGGCTAATTTGTTGTCGGTCTTTTGTGGCACAGAAGCTCTTTTTGAAGTTTTAAAATTGAGTTATGTTTCTGGCTGTGCCAAGTGACTCATCCTGCTCTGCAGGAGAAGGCAATGAGACTGTGTGCTTCCATGTCTGTGATACACGTATGCCACCATCTTTGAAGAGCTTCCAAGCACTGTGAAATGTTTGGGTGGTGCTGTAAATAAATACTGTCATTTTCTTTCTCCCTTATATCTTCGTCCTTCCTCTCTGGAGTTTCTAGAATAGTTCCAGCTATATCCAGGTGTCCACATTTATGATAAATGTGTTTTTCTTCTTGCATTTGTTTGGTTGTGGTGTGGTGAGAAGCTATGTGATATCTTTAACTTGATCTTTGCCTGAATTAAAATTTCCATAAAAACCAGATTGTCTGGAATGAGATGGAAAACACACTGTCTCCTACAGGTAACTGAGAATTTTATTGTGACTGTGCTAGTTAGTCAGTCAGTTTCCTCATTCATAATGTGTGTGAGATATGAAGAAGGAAGAGTGGCTTTTTGGCAGTAGTATATTAATCTTGAGCGTTCCATGTTCTGAATTTGAACTGATGACATTATTTTTGTACTTTTTTAAATTTTTTTTGGTGATGACGATTCATAGGACCTTGTTTCATGGTCACCTCAAAGCTGCAAATGCCACCAAAAGAGAGTGTTCCCTTCCACCTCATTTGCTACTCATTCCTGCATGGATGCTGCTCACTGCATTCTGTTACCTAAAGGATAATCAACTTTAGCTGGGTTTTTATTACTGACAAGCTTTCCCCTTAAGAGAAATTTGCACCGCCTCTCCCTCAGCTCCTAATTTAAATCAGCATATCAATGAATCAGTGTCCAGTATAACTCGCCCTCTTTTCTCTTCTCTTTCTCTTTTTGGGACCTGTTACTGACTATGGAATACTAGAAAATAAGTACACTGCTTTGCTGTGAAGGGAAGCAGTTACTGTTTTCCTCTAATTTCACCTAAGGTGGTGGTGGTGGTTGTGTTTTTTTTTTGGTTGGTTTATTTTTTTTACTCTTTTAAGAAAAGGACTTTAAGTTAAATTTTGAGCATCCTGTTAAGAAGGTAGACTCTCTTTTTCTGAATTAACAAAAATGATCTGGAAGTAGCAAGCCAGCGTACCAAGCATGAGTAGTATCATCAACTTCAGAGAACAAAGCCCACTCTCTTGTTCACTTGATTTAGTTTCAGGAAGGTGTATGTGTCATTAATGTCCCCTGATCTCCAACAAAACCTTGTGCATTTTAACCCGAGTCCATGGAGAGGTGTGATACTGTTTTTTTAAATTATATATTCTGATAAAAAGGTTTCATATTAGAATGAAATACAGTATAATACAATTAAAGCTTTTAACTGAGAGGGGAAACACAGTTTGTTCTTTTCCCTTTGGGGAGGCTTCTTAGAAGTTCACACATCTATAAGGGCTATGCTTTTTTGCTATCAGCAGAGGAGACCAGGCAGTTTGAAATAACAAATCTATTCTGCTGTGGTTGGCAGCAATTGTGGGATTCCAGGGCAAGTCTTGTTGGTTGGCTTTCATGTAGGCACAATGTGTAAAATAAACAGGACTGTATTTCTGGGGAAAATATTCTAAATTTGTCATATACTCACTGGGGAAAGCAGTAACCTATTTCTGTGACAATGGTGTTCTCTCTCTGTGTCAGTTTTGTCACTTTAATGGTTGGTTGGTTTAATGGTTGGTTTCTTACTTGAACTACAGGTTATTTCTCAGTTTACCCTCTCCCTGCCCGTTTCCAAAAGCAGAACTTATTGCCCCTTGATATGGGAATTAACTGTTGCAAAAGACACCAAATTCCAGTTCCCCCACTGTAGTATGGAGCACATCAGTGGTGATTACAGAGCCTATTCTGGAAGGCAGTGGTTGGGCAATTCAGCCCACTCTAGGTAAGTTGAGACATGTTAGATGGTGGCAGGGAGGAGGAGGGATCCTAAGATGAAAATTATTATTTCTGGGAGAGCTGGAAATAGTTGAGCACCTGAACTGGAGCTAAGTGTATTGTGAGGGAAAGGAGGCGCATATCATCTAGTTCCAGCCCCCCTGCCAGGGGCAGGGACACCTTCCACTAGATCAGATTGTGCAAAGCCCTGACCAACCTGGCCTTGAATGCTTCTAGGGAGGGAGCATTCAGGACTTCTCTGGGCAGTGACCTTGAACGCAAAGCAGGAAGGCATTTGTGGGATACCTTCCTTGCTTTTTAAACTTTTTAGATAAAGAAATCCCTCAGGCCAATTTGCATTGGAATTAGGCTTTCAATTTTAACTACTTGAGTAATCCACATCCATTATACACAACTATTTTAAACATTTAGCAGGCCAGTGTTTTGATGGTACATAATCATGGATCTGTCATCTAACCTCTTCCCTCCTCTTTTTTTTTAACACATGAAACAGCAGCGTGCATGTTCCAAACAGGTGACAAACAAGTGGCAAAAATTCCTGCGGTGCTTTAATTTTATAGTCTTTTGCTGGATGTGTGTCCTGGGTTCAGCAGTAGCCGTCATGTTTCTCCTTCTTGGTAGCTGGTGCGGTGCAGTGCAGTGTTTTGACTTTCGGCCTGGGAACAGAGCTGATAGCGATGTTTTGGTTTGGCCAAGGACTTTGTGAGCCTCATGCTCTGCCAGGGAGGAGAGGAAGCCGGGAGGAAACAGAGACAGGGCACCTAAGCCAAACTGACCAAAGAGGTATTCCATACCACCGCACGTCATGCCCAGGAGGTAACTGGGAGTGAGCCGGAAGGGCTGGGAGACTGTGGGGTTGGAGGAGGTATCGGTCAGAACTTGGTTGGGCTGGGGGGGCGAGTTATCGGTCGGCTGGTGGTGAGGTGTTGTATTCTCTTCCCTTGCTATTTCCTTTATCATTATTATCATTGATGGTAGCAGTAGTGATCTGTGTTATACCTTAGTTACTAAACTATTCTTGTCTCAACCCGTGGGAGTTGCATTCTTTTCAATTCTCCTCTCCGTCCCTCTGGGAGCAGGGGGAGGGAAAGAAGTGGGGGGAAGTGAGTGAACGAGTTACCTGACTGGGTTTAAACCACGACAATGTGCTAAATAAAATTCTAGGCATTAGGCAATGGAATCATGTATCTCATGAGATAATGGGTGGATTGGTCTTAGCTCATAGCCTTTTCAGAAGGGAAAGATTACAGTTGCAGAGAGCATGTTTGGTAATTTTTTTTTAGTGTAACTTTTGGTGAAATGAGTTGCCACAAAAGAGGAATTGCATGTAAATAAGCTGCTCTTGGTGCAGGCTTCTGAGGAACTGAAGACAGTAGGCTTTAGGGTTGGTTTGTAGGTTTTTTTTGTTGGTTTGGGTTTGATTTGTTTGTTTTGGATTTGGGTTTGGTGTTTTTGTTTTGTTTTGCCAGGAAGCAAATCATCTGTGGGTGGGAAGGAAATATTAGGGAGAACAGTTTTCAAGCCAGACAAAAAGGGGTTTGGTCTGTTTTAACATTTTCTCACTCTGTGCAATTAAATGTCTAATGGCAATTAGTGATAACTCAAGCTGGCATTCTACATCAAATTATGTTTAAATTGCCAATTCAAAATCACTGCCTGGTATGAGATGATGCTTTAGTATTCTTTTCCGGTCCCCTTCCTCATGCCGTCATAACCTGCCTCTTCCCACAGCCACGAGTAGTCAGTCATGCTGATGGGCAGCATTCCACTGACAGGATACTTGTAGTCATGCCAAGGCAGATGTATGCAAAACCATCACAAATTTGAAGTAATTAAACTTCTGAGATTATTTTCCTTGTCTTGTTCTAGCTCCCCTTGGGAGGTACTATGTTCTATAAATACGTTTGCAGTGAAGACTGTGATAAAAGGGTGTGGTGTCTGAGAGAATGGAATATTGAATGAGGATGAAAATAATGAATTCACTCTGCAGGGCATCTGTTTTGAGGCTGTGAAGTGATGGTGTAAATAGATAGAAGTGACCATAGGGTCACAAGGATATTTTGTGAAGGAAGGGAAAATGAAAGTTTTTGGAGTTGAATTGTTTCTCAGTTGTCCTTCAGCAATTCAGTGACAGAGCCAAAATTAAAATACAGATCTCTTGTGACTTTTATGAATCATGTCTTTACCATTTTTCTGTTGGTAGATGTTGGCTTTTTAATCAGTCTAACCTTAAAATACTTTAAAAAATCTTGGAAGTGCATATTCTATTGAACCAGCAAAAGGTCAAATGAGATGTTTCACGTGAATGAAGATAAAGTGTGGGTAGGGCAAAATACATTCTCTTCTCCTGAAGACTCCTGAAACCACAAAATAAGCATCTTGTTTTATTGTTCAGTACTTCATTTGCTCCAGCTTAAGATAAACTCTAATCTCTTTTGGGCTCATTTTGCAAACAGTACTGTTGTGCAAGTCATATTTTTACACTGAAGCCTCTCTTGCAAAGAGAAGAAATGGGAGTGATATGCAGAGACGGTGTTGAATAGCTTAACTCTTGGAATATTTCCTCTGCCAGCTTTTTCTTGGGGGAGGGTGAAGCTTTCTGTTAGCTGCTTAGACAGTCCTTGTGTCTTGCTGGTGGAGTTGTGCTGTGTATGGCATTCCAAACTGCTGCTGTGAATGTGTTCTAAACCTACCTTAATTCAAGATCAAAATCCAGGGCTTGAGCACAGCTTCCTGTCCCATGTCTGCTCAAAGCCCTCTTTATATGCTGAGCGTTGCAACTTTGCAGTTGTATTTTGGGTTGTCACTGATGCCAGATTGAATGCTTGCAGGAGAAAATAGAAATTTGCACAAAATAAATTACAGCAGTAAATAGAGCAGAGACTGTGTAGTGTCTGTCTCAGCACAAATGCGTGAGATGTGCGTTGTTTGATCAGTAGGCCAGTTCTGCTTGTATAACTTGCCAGACAGAAGCAGACTGCTAAAGTGGCAGTGGCTTTGAAAAGGAGGCAGACTGTTCTTTTAACATGAAAGCAAATATTGAAGGGGTTCATTTTTGTTTCCCAAGCCCCAAGAAACCAGTCCAGTTGCAACAGTTATGGATGACCACTGTAAGATACAGTTGCAAAATCTCCTTTTGCTGAAGTCTTGCTTACAGATAAACAAAACTCAGCAAAACCTAACCCAGAAAAAACACCACTCCCTCCCCCAAATTAAAACAAAACTAAGAAACCCCCAGAACTTCACAAGCTAACTGCAGTCTGCAAAAGCATCCAGGCTAACCTTGCCATCTTGATGTGGTTAAACTAGGTTTTTGTTCACCTTTAATAGGAGTAAAAGGGGCAATGGCTGATACAGACTATCTTGGTTATGTTAGTTTTGGAGTGGTATCAACTCTCTTAGTTGTAGCTGATTATCTTATGCTCAGAGACTGGTTTTGTGGGTTTTTTTTTTTGTGGTGTTGGTTTGGGTTTTTTTTGTCACCTGTAAAAATAAGAGTTATGCAGCTAGTAATTTTATTTTGCAGTGTGTGTCACATGAGCAACTAGGCATTCACAGTTGTCTAAGTGTGTCACATTGTACAAGTGTGATCACGATTGAAAGTTTACTTTCTATTAATATTGTTAGGAAAGCTCCTGTCCACACTGATGATGTCAACCATGTATGTATGTGTGTGTATGTATAAATGTTATATATATTCACTGCTTGTATTTGCTGCTGCCATCATAATACTCTACACATGGCTGCGTTGCACGTAAAGGTTAGTGGGTTTGTAGCTGTCTTTAACTCAAGCATTAAAGGCTTGTGCTTTTAGATTGAGGGCCTGGGTTGGTCCCTGTAAGCAGTGGGATAGCGATTGACTTGAAAATAGAAGTTGAAGTCTGAGATTTGTTTGCACTTCATCAGCATATGCAAAAGGTGCCAGTGTTTAGTCTTCTAAGAACATCCAGTTCTCTATTCTCATTTATTGAGTTGCTTGCTGAATAGTGATGTTGAGAAACATTAGTACAGTGCTATACTGCACCCAGTAAGTTTGTTTAAAGCTTCAAGAATTTAATGAGAAGGAAAAAAAAAAAGTAACTGGTGGGGAAGGGTGGTCCAATGACCCTTTGAAAAATCCTGATTTCTGAGGAATGCTTGGATGAAGAAGCAAATGCCAGCAACCCCTTCCCTCCCCCCACCCCAAAAATAAACAACTCAAAAAAAACCACCAAACCCCATCAACACTCACACAAACCCAAACCAAGCAGAAAACCAAACAAATCAGTGCAAAGCGAACAAAACCAAAACCACCAAAGAATGTAACTGTAACTTGGTCGAACCAGGATTCATCTGATTTTGTCTGAATATTTTTATTTTTATTTTTTAGGTTGGTTGGTTTTGGCCAGCCGGCTTTGGGGATGCCTCAATATGTATGTTACTTCAGTCAAAGTTTGTTGTTAAAGGAAATGCAGCGTTTCTTGTGTAGTTTTTTTATTGAGGAATGAGTCTTCTGCTTCTAGTTCCTGTCAGCCACTACATAAAAAGTCTACTAAACGTAAATTCTTTTGTCTTCATTTTCACTGGTTTGTTTGGGTTTTTTTGTTTTTTTAATTTGTTCATTGATCAAGCTGAAACAGTGCTTACTGATATGTAAAAAATACAGATGGGGAACAAAACAAAAAATGCTTGATATTAACAAGTGTTTGTAAATAAGACTGCCATTTACACATATTCATTGTAGATGTGCATGCATCTCTTTTCAGGTTCCTGAGCAGCAGCCAATTACTTTATGTAGTGGAGCTGAAGATACCAAGCATTATGAGGAGGGCAAGAAATGTGTGGAAGAACTGGCACTGTACCTCAAACCACTCAGCAGCGCAAGAGGTAGTTCCTGCATTGTTTCATTTGAAAATGAAAGCTGGAAACAAGATGCAAAACAAACTAGCCAAATTATTAGTCTGTTTGTAAACTGGTTATAAACCTAGTTTAAAAATAAATTGAAACAAATTTCTTAAGCATTAAGATTATGTTTTCACAACAGAGGGGAATGGGGATCATGGAATTTAAAGGTGTCATGTCAAAATTAATACTGAGGAAAGGCTGAGGTGTTAGGCAGAGATATTTGGCTGTGCTGTAGTAAGTTGAGACAAACTTTGTAAACTGAGTTGACCTCTGTAGAGTAAGTAAAAGTCATTATTTTTTTTGTGGTCTCCTTTGCTTTGAGATAACTGTAGCAATGAAATTTGTTTGTAGAGGAGGATTAAACAGAAACAAGAAAATTACTGCATATAGGATATAGAAGAGAAATAAGTAATAATCTTTTTATTCAAGATCCATGCAAGAGCTGAGTCAATATGAGTAATTGTAATTCAGCAAAACTGTGCTGGGTTCAAGAGTATGGATTTCATCTATATTGCATATGGTGGACGTAGAAGATCTGTCAACCCAAGTAGTAGAGATGAGCATCATGGGTGTCAGGTTTTCAAAAATGAATTTTTACAAAAAACTGTCTCAAGCTTTTTCCAACCAGTACAGCGTGACCGCAGTATCACTCTGAGTAGAAATGGTCCAACAAACGAGCTCTGTGCTATTGAATGAACTCAGTATGACAGCCATATGTCTAGTGAGTCACTTGTTCTTTAACCTGGTTTAGTGGCTTCCAGCATGGTTGAGAAGCACAGGTTTTGCACATAATTAATCATCACCTAGATCAATTTGAACTCGCATGCATGCTCAGTTTGGCTTGGCCAAAGCAGTGGAGGTACCAAATACAGACAACAAACTGTCTTGTGAAAACAGACAAATGTCAAAGAAAGCAGTCATCTGTGAAGCTCATGAATATAGGGAAGGACTGAGATGACACCTGGGAAATCCGTATGGAAGGGTGCAAGACGGACTGCCAAAAATGGGGAAAGAATTCATTGGAGGCTGCACTTTCTGAGGAAGCCAAATCAGTGAATGACAGAACCTTAAACCTGTGGGAAAGCCAACTCCCAGGAACTGTTTGCTTTTAATGTTGAGTAAAATAAAAAAGACAAAAATGAACTTCTGAAATGGCTTCTCTAATGTTCCATTTAATAAAGTGGACTTTATTAAAGGAGAACTAGGTTTGTGCATCTACAGTACAATGGTTGAAGACTGGCGCAATAAGAGGAGATATGAGGTAGTTAATTATTACCTTTTTCTGCTTCACTTTGTTTCAAGGTGTGGGTCTTAACAGTACTACTCAGAGTGTGCTAAGTCGTCCCATGCAAAGGAAACTTGTGACATTAGTTCATTGCCAGCTAGTGGAGGAAGAAGGGCGAATCAGAGCTATGCGTGCAGCACGGTCACTTGGTGAAAGAACAGTCACAGAGCTCATTCTTCAGCATCAAAATCCTCAGCAGCTCTCTTCCAACCTCTGGGCTGCAGTGAGAGCCAGAGGGTGCCAATTCCTTGGACCAGGTAGGTAACTACTTCTATGCTAGAAGCGATTTAGAATTGAGGATTGATAAATGGGTGTCAAATTCCTGAGTGATTTGATTAGTCAGTGGCTTAATTTTTTTAATAGTAGGCCTTCAGAATTAATGATGTATCTCTTGGGCTGCTGTCATAGACTTTCTTGTATTTTTAGTTCTTTTGCAAGTATTTTATGAAGCATTATTCTAGTGATAAGATAAAATGGAAAGCAGTTTCTTGCTTATTGTTCTTTGACGAATAAGACCCTTCTGGAAAAACAAGGTTACTAGAAAAGACTGGACATGGCTTCCTTCATTTATAGCTGGTGTCCCACTTGTAGGGAGACAACTGTGCAGAAATCTTTCTTGGTCTTCTCTTATCCTTTGTGTCTTTTTCTTTACATCTCCCCTTCCCCACCAGCAATGCAAGAGGAGGCTTTAAAGCTAGTTCTCCTGGCTCTGGAAGATGGATCTGCTTTATCACGGAAGGTCTTGGTTCTCTTTGTGGTTCAGAGGCTAGAGCCGCGATTTCCTCAGGCTTCTAAAACTAGCATTGGGCATGTTGTCCAGCTTCTTTACAGAGCCTCATGCTTCAAGGTATGAAGATGATTCTGCTTGGAGATTTCATAATGCTGTGGAAACTGTTGTTTTTCAGTCTCAATTTTCATTGTCCTGTAACATTAAATGTACCTAAAAATATGCGTAGTTACAGAAAGTATTAATCATTAAATACCAGATGGGGACTTCTTTGGAGATACAGCTGCTCTTTGTCATTCAGTTCTTTGTTGTACAGCTATAATAGCTATGTAAGCTGAAATAGCAGCTTCAGACTGTAAAGCTTGACTGTCCAAGTTTAATAGACGCACATAATAGATAACCAACACTGTATGTAAGTCAACATAACTGTCTCTCTAGAAGAGGTGTAAAGCTGGAAAATCCCTGGTTCTGTTGAGTGGTGATGTAGTTAGAAACAAAGAAATAAGAGGTTCTTGGATATCAGAGTTGTATAAAGAGAATATAAGCTGCTTAATGCTCAGTTTAAATGTTGTGCACTTTTCGCTAAACAAGGAGAAAAATGCTTTGTTGCTGCTGATTGTACCCTCAAATAAAATTCTGCAATACAAACAAAATACCTTGACTGGAGAAGTAAAGTGTGGATACTGTCAAGTCATTTAGGAAGTGTGACACTTCAACCAGTGTCAGGGTTTCAGTAAATTATGTTTGGTATCCATTTCATAGAGGTTTTGGTTTATGAAGAAGGAATTTTAGTAGCAACTAGCATTCACTGCATAGTGTCATAGTTCGGTTTAGTTTGCGGGAGAAAGAACTTGCTGACTGAAGATTTCCCATGCTTTGGACTTTACATAATCTCTGCATACATAATCTCTGGATTATCCTGCTTAATCGTATTTGTATTTGGCTTGTTTCTTCCCACTAGGTGACAAAACGAGATGAGGATTCCTCCCTGATGCAACTGAAGGAGGAATTTCGGACTTACGAAGCTCTGAGAAGGGAACATGATTCCCAGATAGTTCAAATAGCCATGGAAGCAGGTTTACGCATTGCACCAGATCAGTGGTCCTCACTGTTATACGGAGACCAGTCTCACAAATCCCACATGCAGTCTATCATTGACAAGGTAAAGCCACCTAAAATCAGCCCAGTCTAACTTGTTTGCAGCTGTTGTAGATGTAAATGCTTGGGCACAATCTGTAAATCCACGCTACATGTGTACTTGCCTTACCTATTAATAATTTGCCCTCTTATTTCAGCCATACCAGGTTTTGAAGTAACTAGCATATATATTTGTAATCTCATTTCTTCTGCTGTCCTGCCACCTCTTTCAACGTTACCACTTTCTGCACATAGGAAGCCATAAAGGTTAGCTACACAGCTGAGCTATGGCATTCCTGAACAGCCAATAACTGCAAATTTAGTAGCAGAGATTAATGGTTCATGTTTCCAGGCAGAAAGGTAGTGCATAAACTGAAAAAAATAAAGGATTATTCAGCCCCCTGTCTATACCTGAAGTGTGAAAGAGAGGTAGAAGCACATTTCTTAAATGAAATTACTTGGCCTTTGGAAATGCCCAGGTGTCTTTTTGTTTAGAGGGAGCATAGGATAAATAGGCTTTTAAGATAGAAGACTGACATCTAAGTGCCTAAATTAGGTAAGGAAAATGGAACCTTGTTGAGATTGGTCTGCTGTATATTTATGCCTTTGTCTCCCTTTTCAGGTGTCCTGCCAGAAATCTCTGGAAGGATTTAGGCAGAATTAAAGGATTTTAAATACTGAAGTTGTGTGATGCTAGTAAATGGAACATTGCTAGTTGTCTTTGTCCTTCATCCAACTTACTCATTATTGTCTGCTCTACTCAGTTTAAAGCAGGGTGTAAACTCATCAGTTTGAAGATACTAGACTCTTCAGAAATCTAATTAAATGGTTTCTAATATTTATTTTTTTTCTGGGTGCCAGCACAACACAGAGGTTATATCATAAGAAATAATACCAGCCTTTATTTTGTCTATTTAAAGCTGTATTTTAACCTGCAGTGTCAAAGAACTGTGTGTCCTTAATACCAGAGAAGGAATTTAATAGAAATTGCTGACTGAAATGGGCTTATGTGAAACACATTTCACTCCAGTTTTGGAAGACAGCTCTTGTGAGCGTGTGGAGCAGCCTTCAGAAACCATAAGGATCAATTTGCCTGTAGAAAGTTAATTATTATAATTTTTTTAAGTTGCAGACCCCAGCCTCATTTGCACAGAGTGTTCAGGAATTAACTATTGCTCTTCAGAGGACTGGAGATCCAGCTAACCTGAATCGCCTTCGACCCCACTTAGAGCTCCTAGCAAATATCGATCCCAGTCCAGGTAAGTCTAGATGGTTTATAAAACCTCTTAGCGAGAGGAGCTTAACTCTCTTACAAGATTGGAACCTGTTCAGTAAGTTGAAGGAAGCATCCTCTGATTCATGATCTTAAGATTCTTGAGTGGTACTCATAATCAGCCTTAGAATGGCAGTAATCTGTGTGAGGAACTGAACTGTTCTGAAACTAAAATAGGTTCAAAAGTTTGACAGGAATAATTTTGCTACTCCCCTGAAAAAAAATTCCTTGTTTGATAGTGCTGGGTGAGCATAGATGAGGATGTTAAATACATGTAATCCTGTGAGGTTGCATGGTCTACACTTGATATTGGGCAATGCTAACTCGGGGTTCCCTGTCTTGCCTTCCTCCTTTTCCCCTTTCTTTGGTACGCATGCTGCTGTTTGAAACAAGGTTTGAAAAGAAACAGGAAGATAGATAGAACCACTGTTCTTAATGCAGAGCCTTAGCTGTCTGCTATACTCCAAGATAACTTTATCTCTCCAGTTCTTTACCAGAGCAAATAATTTGTTTACAAATCAGGGAAAGCCTTCAAGAAACCACTACCCGATGAAGGGTTTCTATTAACTTATCTAATATTTTTGTCTTTGTTTCAGGAATTCTGTGTGTTAGTTTTTAATCAAAGGTCTCTAGCCTTCAAACATTGTGCTTGGAAGGCTCTCTTAGAAACAGCCTAAAATCATAAGGCATCTTCTCTGTAAATTATTTTGGATTCCAAAGTAGAACTTTGATAGTTTGAATAGACAGAAGCTGGGCAAAAAATTGAATCTAGTAAAAAAAAGATGTGTTATCACAGGGATTTTAGTATTTTTCTTGTTAATATGTAATTCTGAAAAGGTGTGAAAGTCTGGACTTAGATTTTATTTCCCCATTACATTGTCTCCAACTTAAGATGTTGATAGAGGAGAGAAAAATTGAAATTTTGAAAAAGTCAGCAGCACTGTGAGGATGGATCACCTGATGGAGAGGAAGGGGCGGAATGGGGAGTGCTGTGGCAGAAATTTTCGTTTATACCTGTTATTAATAATTGATTTTAAAAATTCTGTCAGAATAGCATGAAGGCTTAAACTGTGGCTTCGGGAGAATAACAGTTGTAGTTTTTCGTTTCTGTTTGTTTAAACAAGAAAAAAATTTTTACCCTTCAAATAAGGACCAGTTGTACTTCACAGGTAACAGAGATGTAGTACTTTCTACCCAGATCTTTAACAAGTCAAGGTTAAAACTGTGTGTGTACTGTAAATTTGTTAGCTGAGACTGATACATAAATTAGAATCACTAATAGCCTCACTCTGTTCCAGTAGGCAAGTCTGATCTTGATGTTTCTCTTGCTGTTTTGTTTCTTCCTTGCTGTTCTATAGATACACTGAAGTTCCTCTGGAACAACTTAGTCCTTCTAAAGAGAATAGAATGTAATTATACTAAAGATGTTGAAAGGCACTCTGAGGTCCTGTGTTTTTGCAGCAGTGTGTAGGCACACGATGGGAGTGTCATCTGCTGGAACAGATTTAACGATTAGAAAAGTAAATTGGTTAGAAGAACAAGTGCCCCTGTAGTTTAAGACTGCAGTTTATTCACACTGCTGTGTGTTAGATGGTGGTCTGTTTCATAGATTTGCTTGTGACATTTTTTCATGTGAGAGGCATCAATTTCTGTTGTTCTTCAGTGACTGTGCTTGCAAGATCTAGGCCAGTGGTGGTATTTGAACAAGAATGACTTTACCTACAAGAGTCTGAATGTGAAGAGGGATTTTCAGCCTGGTTTATTTTGTTGGGTTTTGTGGGATTTTTTGTTTTGATTTTTGTTGGGCTGGTGTTGATCAGTTGGTTATGAGATTGCTTTTTTGTGTGTGTGTGTGGTTTTGGGGGTTGGTGTTTGGTTTTTTTTTCTGTGGGGGTTGTTCTTTGCCTTTCATTATAATGTGGAGTTTGTACAGTGCATTTACTCTGGAGTTCTTGTGAGGTATGAAAGTTCTGGTGGAAGGAAATAATTTGACATGCTAATAATAGTTTTGCTGCCTCATTTGGTATTTGGTGTGGTTCAATCTTGAGTCTACAGGTAGCTTTATCATTTAAGTGGTACATATCCCTAAATTAGTGCTGAATGCTTTTTATCTCATTACATGTTTTTGATAAAATCTTTTTGATCTCTTTGTACCTGGTTTTGGAAAATCCTGTTGACTTTTTATGTTCTCTCTTTGCTGTCAATGCAATAGATGCTCCACCTCCAACATGGGAACAACTGGAAAATGGACTGGTTGCTGTGAGGACTGTGGTTCATGGCTTAGTTGATTATATTCAGAATCACAGCAAGAAAGGAACAGATCAGCAACAGGTAAAAGCTAAATGGTTTAGGAAGTGTTTTCCCCTGAACATTACTGGCTGTGTTCAATAGTAGGTGTTTCCTAATGTCATCTGGAGAGATTTGTTTTGACAAAGGAGCTGATTAGAAACATTACTGCTGAATATTATCAAAAAAGTAAACAAAGGGGGGTGGGGAAGAAAACAAAACCAAAAATAAATCGAGACAAGGTACCCCCCAGTACATGCTGCATTAATTTGCACAGCTCACTAGGATGAAAAGACAATAGTCTGATCCAGTTGCAAGCTTAGGGGGATGAATAAACAACTCTCCTGACCAGAGGATGGGGAAGAGAAGCCAGGGTGCATTAGAACTATGATCTGTGGGAATTTTCTTGGGTTTGTTTTGACATGACACATTTCAGCCAGATGGCTGTGTGTTAAGGAAATTATTCTTAAACTTTCTCATACCTTAATGGTCTGTAAAACAAAGATTTGGGAAGACTTCATATAAAGGTGTAGTCCAAATTTCTGAAACAGCTTCTTTTGTTTCAGAAACAAAACAATGATGCCATATATGTATATTAGCCTATATCAGAGTTATCTTACCACATGTTCCTTTGATCTCATTTCATTGTATAGCTAAGTTGATCTCAATGCTAACTGCTGCTGAGACTGTTGCCTGGCACATATTAACACTCCCTCCCTTGCTTTGGCACTGTTCCTCTTGGAGAGCTAGTTCAGGGAGCCCAACTAGTAGAAAGTTTACATCTGCCAAAAAAAAAGCAGCAAAATTATAGTGAATTATTTATGCTAGCTTACCTTTTTGCATTCACTGGAATGTGCAATAAGCACTGTTAACCAGCAAAAGGGAAAGCAGTAGGAATACACAAGTGGAAATCAGGGTGGGAAAAACAGTGAGGGGTTTTGTTCTGCTCAGACCGTTGCTGAGACCTGGTACATGCTGTGCCACTTGGAAGGGACCCCAGAACCTCCCAAGTGGGAAAGGGGCCATCTGTTGACTATTGCACGGAGTTTTGCTGGCTGGCAGTAGTGGCCAGTATAAGTCTGTGCAGCTTATGTACTCCCTTCCTAAATCCTCTTCTCACTGCAGTAGATGGGAGGAAAGAAAAGAATCACTTTTCAAATGGCTTCTTACAGATTTACATCTTTTGGCTGAGTTTTTCAGAAAGCAATAGTTGACTTTTCCCTTGGTGAAAACTCTGATAGGGAATTTCTGCCTCAGATTTAATTCTGCCACAAAAACTTTATGGACTCAAATGTCTTTGAGACTGCCGCTGGCATTCTGTCAGAGTTTATATAGAGACTGGCAAATAAGCATTCATGCAGAGAGCAGGATTGCAGTAGGTCATTGTTTCTTGGAAAACTTAACTGAAGAGAGGTACAGAAAACTGCCTATACCCTGTTGAGCTGTGTATCAGTGAGATTGCATCCTCAGCTGTTGATGGAAATAATCATTGTAGATAGTGAAGGGATTTATTTTTTTTTAGTCCAAAGGGAGGGGTGAAAGGGAATTCAACGAAAAGTAACTCTGAGATACTCAGAGTAACTCTCTGATAAAGATACTCAGAAAAGTGCTGTCTTGAGCTAACAAAAATCAAAGGAAAAGCAACTGACCAGATTGTATTTTTTATAAACTGCCACAGAGCTTCATGAATATTTGGTAATTTCTGATTAAGCATGGTGTTTTGGTTTTTGGTTTTTTTTTTTTCAGCTTATATTGGTTTTGTCCACTTAAGTGGGTCCTGAAACATACAGCTGTGTTCCAATTAAGCTTCTGTAAGGAATTTGAATTAAAATGTTTTAAAAACCTCGTACTGACTTAGTTGTCAAAGTATCTGCTCTTGAATCTGTTAGTTCTGTTGAAGACCCAGACACAAATACTGCTCCAGTCATTTACTTCACCATAGGTATTTCTGGAACATTTAAATTTAAGGAATTATCAATAGTTAAACATTGTGCCTTTAATAAGAGGATACATTCAGCTCTTGGTGAAGCACACTTATATTTGGATATTTCACCTGGTTTCTTTAACCTTGTCAGCCTCCTCAGCACAGCAAGTACAAGACATACATGTGCAGAGACATGAAACAGAGAGGAGGATGCCCTCGGGGGGCCAGCTGCACCTTTGCGCATTCACAGGAGGAGCTAGAAAAGTAAGTGTACCTCTCACAGTAGAAATCAATCCAGTTTTTGCTTCATTTTAGAGTTATTTATCATATCTAGGAATGTTGAGAGGAAGCATAACTTGCCTGTTACATTAGCAGGAAATTAAATTAAAAACTCCTAACAGTCTTCTCAGGTTTTTGAACTGTTCTTAAGTATAGAATATTTTGCTTTGTTCAACATTAATGCATCTCTGAAAGTTTGACGGTTATGCAGGTGTTATTTGAGATTTTGGAGGTGGACTGTTTTTCCTAAGTGTGACTAAACATGCTGTTTGACTGCATCCATCGTGGTCACTTATTTGTGTGTACTTCTCATCTTGCCTTTATATTCAGTCAGGTTGCTGGCAGTTTTCCAGATGTAGGAGTTCTCTTGTTCTTCTGTGCTGCTAGGGCTATCCAAAAAGCTAAAAATGCACATCACAAGTTTTTTTTTGGCAACAGCTTTTCTTTGAAACTTCTTGACAGATTGCACATGCAGTAACCTCAGTGATTAAATCTGTTGTTGAAGAGTTAAAAAATGGTGGTCATACAAAACCTGCAGTGAATAAGCTACATTCAAGAGCAGGCCACAGCTGTTCTGAAGATAATTTTAATTATTTTTTAAAGTAAAATGGATTATTTAAGATTTAAAATATATAGTATTTATCTCTTTTATGCAGCATGTGTTACTTGTTACATGGTTTGGGGTTAAAAGAATTTGCATCTTTCAAAGAAAATAATCAGAAGAAAACTCCAAAGTTTGGAAATGGTATACAGGCTTTTTCCACTCCATAGTCTAAAGCTTGAAGCATTAATATGGCAGTTCACTGTATAGCCAGCATGCAGTGCATAAGCAAAACAGGAAGAAAAACAGAGCAGAGCATGTGGTGTTAGAATGACAAAGGCAGTTATTCATATTAACAGAGAATAGGACTTTGATACTTGTGTTCTGCAGAAACAGTTGGGATTTTTCCCCTTTTGTCATGGTGTTTAAAAAATGGAGACTGGTACTGCTGGTTTGGATGGTTAACAAGGGTGGTGAGTCAGTATTAGTACCTCTGAACTAACCATGTGCATCAAGGAGGACTGTTTGTCAGCTTTGTGGATGTAAGAGGCTTTTTTTTTTTTTTAATCCAGACTGGCTTGTATTATGTGGTTGTGTAACTCTGAGTTCCAGTTCTTCCTTGTACCTTTTATCTTTGCTTAATTTCTTTGAGTAGATACTGCATTAGTGTTCTTCCTTTTTAAAAATGTTTAGTATGAATAATATGAATTGCTGTTGCTATGTAGTAGTTCCTCTGTGTGTGTCTCATTATATACAGCTTCACATTTGCAGGAAGGTTATGGAGAGCTATGTGGTAGTGTCTTGGATATCAAGTTATAATTTTGACTGTTTAAACAGCAGCTCATTCCCCCCTTGGCAAAGGAAAAAGACCCAGTGTGCATAAGCAAGCATTACATTTTTAGATTGGTTTTGTGTCCTGCATGTGTAGAGACAGCAACAAAAATTCTTTGGAAAAATTGAGAGAGCAGCCCTTTAAATTTATATATAAGTATTTTTAAGTAATTTATCATGGAGGGTGCTACATAAACTCTTCCTGTCACCTTTGATTGAAAGGGTGTCTATACACATGCACCTGTATCTCTTGATCATACTGTTTTGTTCTAGCTGAATGAATGGGCAGGGGTGGCCAGTCCTCATCTCGCAAGTTGTGTGCAAGCCTTCCAGGGAGTCAGGAGCCGTAAGACACTGTGCCTCTAAGACACCTAATGGGATGAGGATGTCCAGAAGTATATGGTGTAGAGAACATGGCAGTGGCTTCTCAGTGTCCTTCTGCTGCCTTGCACACTTGCTTGAGTGATTTGAATGTTGAGCAGGATATCAAAGTAGAGCTGTGAGCTCAGACTAAGGAGTTCACTTTCACTCACCTCCATGTGTCCAGCTGACTTGCACAGCTGACATGAGATGCCAGAACAACTTCTGAGCAGCATATGTTAGGAAAGCTGTAGTCTGTCCATACTTAAGTGCTTTTACTGTGGTGATAGCTCGTTTACTCCCTTTAAATACATTCTGAATTATGTCCACTGTCAACACTTTGTAGCTTGAATTTATAGTTTGATTATGTGGGTAAAGATTAATTCAACCAAGAGAAAGTTATTAAGGTGGCTAGAAGATAATCAATGAACTAATAAGACAAACAGCTCAAATGTATGTAGCAAGATTATACTTTGACTCCATACTCAGTCACATCTAAAAACCAAAATAACCACAACAGAAACACACAACAATGAAAAAATTTTTGCCTCTGTTGCATTGCTGTTAATGCTGTACATGTGGGCAAACACAAACATTATCTGAAGATGGAGTAATAGAGTATAAAGGCCCCCTTTTTCTACAGTAATATGTACCTTCCTAGTCTGTATTACCATCTCACTTTGCTAGAAATGGAAGTGCTGTCTTCAACCCTGTAGAAGAAACAGCGTCTTACTGTGCAATACAAGCAGCAGGAGCACTCAGGCCTACAAATGTGCCCTGCCACTTATGTTCTGATACCTAAACTAATGGCAGGATGTTTAGTGGAGGACATTCGACTCTGGAATTTGCTCTCTTTGTTGCTCCAGTACTGTCAGTCTGCTGATTTTGTGGAATGTTTGTTCAGCCTTTCATGAGAAGCAGTTAGATTTTTGTAGTTACAGCGTGTTCATAGAAGTGTTTATCTCTGCAGTTGCTTACCAAATGAAGCAAACGGTATAAGCTGTGTATTGGTAAAGTAACATAAATTTTAAAAACTATGCTTTAAAAGATACCATGTGGCAATGAACACTTGGCTTATTGTTGGGCAAATGGTGCAAAAGGGAATCTTCATCTTCTGTCACTTGAATTTTCCGCTGTTAATTTTGTATCTGAATAAAATGAACTTGAATAGTCTGTGATCCTTATTCTGAAGCTTCTGTTACTGTAGGTAGTATTATGTGATGTTTGGGTTTGGTTTTCTTCTGTACAATTGAAATGCATATATGCACAGGATGTAAGACTGTAACCTTGCTGTGTGAAGTGTCTGTGAACTCTTGGTGTACTTGCTATTAAAAATCCATCCTTGTTCTGATTGAAACTGCTAGGAACAGTTCAAATAGCAGTGAAGTTGTAGTCTAACAGATGCTCTCACAAGGCCTTAGGAAACTTGACTTAAAACTTGAAGCTTTTGGTAGTATGTCTGTTCAAAAAAAAAATTTGAAAATGGATCTCTATTCTTTTGTTTCAATTTTTGATATATGGCTTCTTTTCTCTGAAGATTCCGTAAAATGAACAAGCGTTTGGTTCCCAGAAGACCCCTGAGTGCCTCCCTCGGCCAGCTAAATGAGGTGGGCCTGCCTTCAGGAGCTATCCTCTCAGAGGAAGGGGGAGTGGAATTGCCCAATAGGAAAACTTCTGCTCTGCCAAATGGAATTGTATCAACAGGCAGCACAGTGACGCAACTTATTTCTCGAGGGACTGACTCCAGTTATGAAACGGCTCTGAAACCAGGGAAGATGGACCATCTGAGTAGCAGTGCCCCTGGATCCCCTCCTGACTTGTACGGGTCTTTCTAACTGTTGTTTGAAGTGTCATCTGTGTAAATATGCAGTAGAAACAAACTCATTTTCTAGAAAAGAAACAGAACAAGATTTTTCTTTCAGTCTTGTGGTGATTTTTTTGTTTTCGTTTGTTTTTGTTTTGTTTGTTTTTTTGTTTGCTTTTAAGTGATTAAAAAGTAGAGTAGAAAATTAAAGCTAAAATGAAACTGTTTTACTTCACTGTTTGCTTATATTTTAATTAGAGAAGGTGATGTAAGCCTTCAGCAGGTGGAGGATAGACTGGCTTATAGTACAGTGTGTTATATCAGGCCTTAATAAGCAGTGCCATCTTTGTACTTTTTAGGATGGAATCTGTTCCCAAGAGCTCTATTTCTGCCTTACCAGTGAACCCTCATCCTGTGCCTGCTCGGGCACCAACAGATCTGCCTTCGGTGTCAGTCACCAAGCAGTTGCAAATGGTACCACGAGGGTCTCAGTTGTATAATACTCAGCAAGCAGATATGTTTTATCAGGATCCTAGGGGAACTGCCCCACCATTTGAGCCAGCACCCTACCAACAAGGTAAGTTTAAGACCAAGCTCTCTATCTTTCATCTTCATACTGATTTTACTCTTTCTTCCCACTCTCTCGTGTTTCTAAGCCTTCAAGTTGAGTCTTACCTGTTATGCGGATTGTAGGCACTAATGTGGTGATGACATAATAAAATGGAAATCAGCAGGCTTTTTATGCCTTGACTGAGGATGTCCATGCAGTTGAAAACAGAGGTGTATACCCATCCAGTGTAGCAACTCCTTCTTTTCTTTCAGTTCTTCCTAACTAGGCTGGATTAGGAGTCTAATATGGTAAATTTTAATTCAGTTTGTCTCGGGGAAAATGGAAATTGAGTTTAACCAGCAGAGGGGGTTATGCCTGAGGAGTAAAAGTACTTACGTCCTTAATGAAAAGTGTGTATTTCAGAAGTGTCTGCATATGTATGTGATGGGTAGAGATAAGTGATACTGGAGAAGGGTGTTGCACACCCTTACACAATGTAAGATTGGAGAGAGAAATTACATAAAGTGAAGTCAATGTGAAGGAAAAATAAGGAATGAAAGACTGAAAGAAATGAAAAAAAGAAGAAAAAGCCTTAAAAGAGAAGGGGGGCAGGGGAGCACCACAGTTTTTCAGAAGGTTGCAGAGTATTTTGAAGGTGGGGGGAGAGCTTACATTTGATTTTTGTGTGCAAATTAAGACCTGAGCTGCCTATGAAACTTGATGCCTGTGTTGATGATGATGTGCATGTGTTCGTGCTTGTTTTTAATTATCAAGAGATCCCAGACAGTTTCCTAAAATCTTCATGTAACTAAGGGGTGTGTTCTTAGAAGCTTTCTTCTTAGTTCTTTGAAGTGATTCACAGTATGAAATTTCTTTCTGCTGTTCAAGAGGTAGAACAAATCTTTAGGTAAATTGTAATTAATCCACGTTCCTCTACACAGGCAATGGCTCTGATATTTTGGGACAAATTGAATTTCAGTTGCATGGATGCGGATGTACAGGCTAAACTTCAGTTTGCTTTTTAAGTCTTATCTAGCTAAAAGCATTTATGCCAATCTGCAGGTACATTCTAATGAGTTACTTGTTTGGCATGCTAGCAGGACTGCGATAGACTCGGTTTTACCACCTTTTCTCTAGCTGGTGTAAGCTTTATGCCTTGCTGGTATCTTTTTTAGGTAATTGAACCCTGTCACTTGAGCTTTGTATCATGTTTTGCTTTTCTGTGGCTAGTTTTTTAGTAGAAATACCAGTTAGACAGTGGGCAAACAACAAATGTGAATTAATTTATACCCTTATCTTCATGATACTTGTAGACTGGAGTATTTGAAACAATTCTGTTTTGTGGTCAACTGTGATAATCACTTTATCTCATTTGTGGATTTGTTTTTGTATTCCTCTTGCCTTCTTTCAGGAGTTTACTATCCCACTCAGTCGATGTCTCGCTTTGTCCGACCTCCTCCATCAGTTCCTGAACCTGGTCCACCTTATTTAGACCATTACCCACCCTACCTTCAGGATCGTGTGGTGAGCCCACAGTACACACAGCCGCAGCAGTATCCTCCTATGGGACAACCCATATACCCACCTCACTACGACAGTCGTCGTGTATATCCCCCTGTCCAGCCATATCAACGAGAGGAGGTTGTCCGAGGAAGCCCTGTACCCATTGAAATTCCACAAGCAGCTGTACCCTCCTACATACCTGAATCAAGAGACAGATACCAGCAAACAGAGGGTTATTGCCCAGTGACTCCACATCTAGGTCAGATCAGACCTTCATGCCACAGGGTATGAGGTTTATATCACAATTTCATAGTTGTTTAAGAGAGAAACTATGAACTACTTGAGAATTTGAACATTTTTGTAGTAAGATGGTGGGGTTTATAAGGAATTAGAAGTTTGATCTTTAAGAAGGGGTAGGTTTGACAAAGCTAATTAAAAACTGGAAGGCAGGTTGCTACTTAGTGCTCAAAGTAAGTAGCAAACTTAGTTTTCAAAGTAGAAAAGCATTGTAATTACCTAGGAAGTCTGCTATGGTCCTGACTTCCCCAACAGAGATTAGACTGGAGAAAGCTGTCATCTTTGTAGTGCAGATTAAATACAGTGTGTGGAAGTGGTCTTGTGTGCATTCTTATACTGCTCATATGTGACTGGACCTCCTCTGTGCCTAAATAAGTATTCAAACTTGCATCCTGTGATAAAGGAGCTGAAGCTTCTGCTCTTCTAAATTCTCTCTACTTTAAGACTTCCTAGAAGTGTACAAACAAAAAGAAGTATCTTGGTAAATCATCAGCTGGAATAGAGTCCTGAACAGTTGGATTTACGTAGCTGTCATTCATTTTGGAGGCTCTGAATTGCATTGCTGAGTCCAGGAAGCATTTTTACATAGTTTATAGATTTCAGGTTTGAGTTTGTCACATTTTTTGGGATGTTTGATTCTGTTGCAAAATGAATGATTAATGTAAACTAACTGTGAATAGGTTATGATCTGGAGAGTTCTATCGCTTTCCCCCCATATAACTGAAATGGGGACCTGCCATGCTGGAACATGTTTCAATGGAAACTTTGCCAAGTTGGAACACAGATTCATGTTGAACTACCTGTGAGTTAAAAGTTTGACAGGATTAAAGTTGGATCACTGGGTTAGTTGAGTATCTAATCAGTTCCAGGCAAAATAACGTTCTCTGCTTTTGGGGTGTATGGCTAGCGTAGGAACATGTATGTGATACTGTCTGTTCATTGTAGAAGTATCTGGTTGCCCTATTTTGTTTGGATAAAAAATATTTTTTAAATTACTAGTTTTGTGCATTAATGCTTCAAACTTTGTAATGTATTTCAAGTTTTTAATTTATTTCTCTCTTCACGTCAGCCTCATCCTAGCCTGGATGAACTTCATCGGCGAAGGAAAGAGATCATGGCCCAGCTAGAAGAGAGGAAGGTGATTTCTCCACCTCCTTTTGCACCATCACCAACCTTGCCTCATCCTTTTCATTCAGAGGAGGTAAGCATATTTTGACAAAAATATAACTTGCTAGCATATTTGGAAAATACTTTGGCGTTTGTGTGTTGGTAGGTGAAGACAACAAAGTTAGAACAGTACAGTGCCGGGGGAGGAGATTTTGTATTCTGGGTGGGAAGCCCTTATGGTGTGTTCTCTATTTTCTCAGCTAGCTGTTATTTCTCTGATCTGCTGCTTATCCTGTGCTATCTGCCTTTGGTGCAACCAAAAGAAGTAGCTTTGAACCTTTATTAATTGAAGTAGTCTTCACAGTTACTGGACTTCTTCATTTGCTGTTGACATGTTTATAGTTAAGTAACAGCTTGATGGAGGTTTATTTTTTAACCAAGCTCAAAATACCACTCTCATACTGGCCAAGTGACCAGTCAGCACAGGGAGTGTAGCCTGGTGATCAGAATTTCATGCATTTCATGCTTGCTGTGGCCCAATTCCAAATGGTGATGTACTGATTAAAAAATAATCCTGGTAGTTTTTCAAGCTCATTGCTGTTGACCTAAGTACTGGTGGCTGTGAAACTGCTTCTTCCCTTCGCTTACAGAACCAGATTTTTGTTTTTGTGCAGTACTTAGATGAAGATCTGAAGGTAGCTGGGAAATACAAAGGAAATGACTACAGCCAATACTCTCCTTGGTCCTGTGACACCATCGGCTCCTACATTGGAACCAAAGACGCAAAACCCAAAGATGCTGTGGCAGCAAGGAGTGTGGAGATGGCGGTATGTAGGGACTGGGGGAACACAGAAGCAAAGTTGATACAGTTGTGGGTTTGGAGGGACTCTTTTCATTTGCTTTCCAGGATGACCGGAGTGCTTGTATTTTAAGCTCAAAAGTGCACTGCACATTTGCAGGTGTGCAGAGTGCTTTGTTTTCAAAGGTACAAATAGTCCTACATCTTTGTAGCTGTTTTAAAATTCTGGATATAGATGCAGGTTTACAACTCTAAAGCCATGGATAGCAAGAGATACTTTGCCGTGATTCTTTATGCTTACTTGAAATCCAAAATTACTTTCTACTGGCAGCTTGTTAATTAAACATGTTCATCTGTTGCTTTCTGTCAGAGGGAGGTGCTGTAACTTGTGCTATTAAATCCTTTTAAGGTAATTATTTCTACTGGTCTTACTAGTTTTTACTTGAAAGACTCTATGATCTGTGACCACGTGAATACCCAAACTTGCATGAAGCATTTGGGAAGCCTAGTTGTAACATAATACTAAGCTGATTCTTTTTGAGGGCAATTTCTAGCTCTGTTCTGTGTTTATTCAGTCATTCACTGAAGCTGTGGTTGTCTGGCTGTGATCTTATTCTGTACTGCTGCAGTTTTGCTAAGCCAGTGTTGCAAAAAAAAAAAAAGCCATTACTGGACTCATGAATGTAGAAGAGAATAAATAGGATTCTGAAATACCACCACTATTTGGTTTCTTACTAGCGTTTAAGCATCACTCTACAGCTAGAAATAGGCTGGTAGAATAGGCAGACTAGTTTAAGGATGAAGGAAATAGAAAATACAGCTGAGACTTACTATACTGGTGTACCGATTTGTACAAGCACTGTGATTTTTCTCATTTCTGATTAAGTTTGACTGCCTCTTCCATATCTTGTCTAGAACGTAGATAGTAAAGGCATGCGTGACCAGCGATTAGACATGCAACGAAGAGCAGCAGAGACTGGTGATGATGACCTTATTCCATTTGGAGACCGACCAACTGTGTCGAGATTTGGGGCTATTTCTCGTACTTCCAAAGCCATGTATCAGAATTCTGGTCCCATCCAGGCCATGGCAGTTCAGGGAGCTAACACCAAATCTATCATTTCAGGTATGATGATCTACACTTGGATTTTGCTGTCGCTGCTTTCTTTAGTGCTACTAGTATAATTCAAGTTGAAGACAGCCCCTGTAAGCTTGTTTCATAGAAAAATAGGTGAGATATATGTCATGCCACTAAAAACAACTCTAGGTAAGGCTACACTGAGAAGCCTGAAGAAAAAGGCTGTCACTTCCTGCTGCAAGGGCAGGTTTGTGCACACCTAGTGTATGTGTTGGTGATTTCTTCTTGCTTTTTGGAAAAAGTTACTTTGTTCTGCTGATCCTGCTGAGATGAGGTTTATTTTAAGTCTGTTGCAGTAGAATCCAGAAACTTACTGCTTTCCCAAAGATAAAATGCAAAACCATCATAACAAAGTACTCTACTGCATTCCTACTTTATCGGTGGTTGCTGCTGAAGCTTAATGCAGGCATTGCTTTGTGCACTGTTAGGCAAGGCAAATAAAGTCGGAATAGTTTATTTTCTACACATCTATTTTCTAATCACATGTAATGTGGCTGTATGTCTTGCTCCAGAAGATGATCTCTCTCTTGAGGTGAATTGAAGAAGAAACATTAGGCTTCCTCACTTTTAGCAGCCTGGCCTTTCTGATTATTCTTTAATGTCTGTTCAGTTCTGTGTGTAGGCTGAACTACTTAAAGGATAGTTTTGTAGTAATGCAACGTGTTTTTATTTCTGTTTGTTGCCAGACTACAGTCCTTATGGAACTCATGGTGGCTGGGGAGGCTCTCCATATTCTCCTCATCAAAATATACCTTCTCAGGGACGTTTCAATGACAGGTAGGACTGCTTTGGTTTTTTTTTTGCCTTTGTGTAATGTTATTTTATTTTTTCTGTGCCCGCTGAATGAAGCTTTTTCTTAGAAATCTCCTTATTTTTGCTTTTCTGATCCCAAAGGGAGAGACTGTCCATGTCAGATGTGGCTGGTCATGGGAAACAGTTGCCCTCAGCTGAAAGAGAGCAGCAGCTGCGCATGGAGCTGCAGCAAGTAGACCACCAGATTAGCCAGCAGACACAAATGCGAGGACTAGAGGTTGGTACCAATGGTTGGAAGAGTGATGAGGGGTAGTATGGAGAGAGATGAAGCTTTTCATTAGTTGATCTTTCTGGGACTGTAATGATATTCAGTAACAATACTTAATTCTGTGATGCCACGCATCAAAACTAGGGTAAGAGTGTAAAGCACTCTGCTTAGCAACAGAAATATCCCTGCGCTTCATGTGCAAATCAACACCATACTTGAATCAACTCTCTGTACTCATTTACTGCTTTCATGCTCTCTGCTTACTGACCCTCTCTGTTCATCTGTATACTCAGAGGCGAACCTGTGCTGCAGATACCTATTTTTCTTGGCTTTACTGCCCTTGATAATGTCTGATTTTGATGTACACAAAGCAGTGACCTTCATCTGTTTCATGTTTGGCTTTGTGTTGTACCTGTTTCTTCCTAAATAGCACAAACCACAAGATCAAAAAATACAGATACTTAGCTTGAGAAATTAAGCATAATGTTTTACATCTCCACTCTTAAAAAAAATACAGTCACTAGTAACATGAGAAAAGATGGCAGTCTGCATTTAAAAAAGAATGAGTTGAAATCTTTGTGTTTTGTGAAAAACAGAAGGTAGAAATGTTAAAGCATAAGGAAAGAATTTTTTTTAGGAAAGCTTTAGTTACTTTTTTTTTTTTTAAGTCGCAGCAGCAGTTACAAATAGTACTGCATTTGCAGTTACTTCAAACATAACTTATGTTCTTGTGCACTTATTTGGGAACAAGAGGAGAAAGTGTTTTAAATCTTGCATGTCTGCCATAATAGAGAGTATTGGAAAACTGCAAAACTTGTAAATGGCACGCCTCTCCTGCTCATTATTAATGCGATTGTGTCAGTGTTAAGTCCTACACAGTTGAGTTTTGAGCTTTGATTCTATCATAATTTGAATTTGTCAGAACTAATCAGTTATTTTGAGTGACAACAGCTTTCAGTTTCCCTTCTGTTCAAAGCTGCAAGCAGATATTTGAAATCCAGGAGACTTAGAATCATAGAATTGTAGAATAGTTAGGGTTGGAAAGGACCTTAAGATCATCAAGTTCCAACCCCCTTGCCATGGGCAGAGACACCTCACACTAAACTGTGTCACCCAAGTCTCTGTCCAGCCTGGCCTTAGACACCGCCAGGGATGGAGCGTTCACAACTTCCCTGGGCAGCCCGTTCCAGTGCCTCACCACCTTTATTGATTTACCTGTTCCAAAGTTGTAGCAATCACTCAGAGTGATTCGATCAGTCATTCAATCAGAACATGAAGAACTAGATTATTTTGTTTGCTTCTCAAATGAATGAGCATTTCTACTTAAGACCAGCCAGATGTTTGGTTGTGCAGGGTAGGAGATAGTATCTTTAAATGCAGACTGCACACTTAGAGTTGATTTCCAGGGACTGGCAGGTTTTTGGAGTGGCAAACATGACTACTGCTTTTACTTGGCTGCTAGTAACTTGCAACTTCTGAATGACTGTACCTGTCCCCCTCTCTTCCTGTCCTTCCTCATTTGGGTCAGTAGAGAGCTATGTATTTGATATCCACATCTCTCAAGATTTTTTATATTATTTGGTAATATAATTCTGGCTCCACTGTAGAATTTCAGATATGCTATTGTAAATTAAAACAGCAGATTTGTTTATTTGCTGTTACATTTTGCTCAACAAATAGCTCGTGAGCGTATTCCTTTTATTCTTGCGTAATCCTAGTTTTGAGAAGGGATCTGTGTATAGGAAAAATCCCTGGAAATTTATTATACTAAAAGGTGTTTAACGCTGCTTGTTTAAAAGTGAAAAGATTTGTCTTTGTGTAAAAAATGTTTAAATTTGTGTTAGAAGCTATTTCAAGTGGGACCTTGTTAAGTATGGCAAGAGAAGGCCTTGGTTTTGCAAATAAGCAATAATCTAGAATTACAGCCTAGAGCTCTTCCTGTGCTTGGTGTGTTGTGTGCTCAGTTGTGTATATGCTTGGCTTTATGCATTTAGGCTGTTAGTAACAGGCTGCTGTTGCAGAGGGAGACGACTACCCTGGCAGGCCAACCACAGCCCCCACCGCCACCTTCCAAGTGGCCTGGGATGATCTCAAGTGAACAGCTGAGCTTGGAGCTACACCAGGTGGAAAGGGAAATTGGGAAGAGAACCCGTGAGCTGAGCATGGTGAGTGCCATGGGGGTGGGAAGCAAAGAGGTGGAGACACATGTAGCTGACTGCAGCCCTTTCACTGTGGCGAAAAGGCTCTTGGCTGGATGACCACAGCTGGAGCCATCCACCTCGTTCTTCACCTCTTCATTCTTCAGAACCTCCTGAGAAGTTATTAGATGATTCTTTACAAGGAATTTTAAATCTAGCCTCTTCAAATGGCAACAAAACAGAATATTTTAAAAATAAGTGTGGCAATAAATGTGTTAAAAACTGTGAATTGTCTCCAAGGTCACTGTGCCATGAGTTAGACTGTTTTAACATAGAAAACTTCTACAGGTGCAGACTAGTGCTCAGAAGTCTGTGTGCTGTTACAGTCTGTGGTCTTTGTTTGTTGCTTACAAGAATTGTCCCTTCCTTTTGGAAAATACTGTGTCCTGAGAAGAAGAGCATTATCTTACTGAGTCTGTTTCTTGCCTCATGGCTTTTTGTGAGTTATGTTGTGTGACTTCAATTTACAGGTCTTCATTATAGGTCCTAAAGGATGAAGTCTCTTCTTTTAACATAATGTTAAGGAATTTTTCTTTTTTCCTTTTTTTAAAGGAGAGCCAGTCTTCACTGGATATAAAAAACAAACTGGGCACCACTAAACAGACAGAAAATGGACAATTAGAACCGCAAAGCAAGGTTCCGGCTGAGGACCTTGCACTGACATTCAGGTAATGTGGGTCTTCAACTTTCATTTGTGTATCAGAAGAAGGACTTAATCAGGGTCACCGTCTGGTACATGAATAACATCCCCTGCCTCACACTAGCTCTGACGTGGAAGCATCTACTAGGAGAAGATTACACAAACCAATTTTTTTATAGTGTAAGCATGAACTGAGGGCTATTTCAGCTGATGAGTAGGGGAGTGGAAAGACAATGACAATTAATTCAGCAGAAGTATTGCTGCATTGGTAAGACCAGAAGTCCATGTAGTCAATGTTGGATGATTTATAGGGAGGAGCAGGAAGTAAACAGCCATAAAAGAAACTTTATCTGCTGGTTTAGTTTCAAATAAATGTTGGAAATGAAAGGGAAGTTATTCCATTTTTCTACAATTTGTTAATTGGATGTTGTCTAGGAAGGCATGTAACTTTTGAAACAGAGTTCACTTTTATTTGCAGGCAGTAATCTTTAGCTGTGTAGGTACTGGGATTGATTTCAGTTCACATTTGGTAGTCCACTGAAATAAGATGTTGGCTGCTAATGCTGGATATCTATACAACAAACATTTTCAGATGGCTGCAAACATCTGTGTGTATTCAAACTAATACTTCAAAGAGAAAAGCTCAGATGTTTCTCTGAGTTTACATAAATTCACCTGAGCAATTTGGAATCTGGATAGTTACTCAGAAAGTGTATTTAGAAAACTTGGACCTCTCAGTTGCTTATGAAGTCTGCACTTTCTTCTTATAACCAGTTCTTGTGGTCTGTGCTTCACCATTAGATTGAGGCCTCCGGAGCATAAAATAATTTTTCCATATGAAACTCTGAAAGTAATAAAATCGAAACAACTTTTTTTTTTTCATTAAAAAAAATCCAGCTAAATTAAATATTCTGGAATGCGTGCATTGTATGGATTGATACTGTGCACTTTCTGGCATATACTGAAATATTTGAAAAATATAAATTATCTAGAACCCTGAAAATATGTAGTCTTGTTTGTTTTTAAATTAGTCTTACCTTAGTTCTTCCTTTTCTGCTATCTGCAGCATCCCAGACAACCTGTTTGCTGTAGAGAGCAAGTCTTCACATGTTTACATACGTTCACAATGCTGTTCATATTGATGCTGCAGCAACAAATATTTTGAGTCCTTTTACTTAAATGAAAAATGTTATTAATTGCTTCCTTCCCTCCCCCTTTCTCCTCAACTTTCTTTCAGCAGTGATGTTCCAAATGGATCAGCTTTGACACAAGAGAACATTGGCCTCCTGTCAAACAAGACAGCATCTCTCAGCCTGTCGGAGGACCCAGAGGGAGGAGGAGACAACCATGACTCCCAGAGAGCGGGAGTTACACCCACATCTGCTCCATGAAGTGAGGCCAGCATACCCCAGAGTTTATTTTGCTGGGGTGTTCATAGCTTCAGTCACGTTTTTTATAGGGGTGATTGGAGAAACCCAGGAGCAACAGCAGTAGCAGAGCAGCAGGTCCAGAGGCAATGTGCACAAACACAACTACTAGAAACAAATCCTGCACATAGTTCACATTAACGCATTTTTTAATTAAAAAAAAATGAAAATTAGCAGTATCTGCAAGCAATTCAAATTAAATTTGTTTTTGTTCTGTGAATGAACTTTATTTTAATAACTTTGGACGCCTTGAATCCCAGGGCTTAAAAAAAAAGATATTATATATATACTCTGTTTGATTAATTGTATGATCTTAATGAAGTAGGTTTTTTTCTTTTATTTTGGTATTATTACATAACCAGTGCATAATTCCTTATCACCTTTAATTTCTCAACAACTAAAACACCCTGGCTGCTTCCTTGTGTGGTTTAAGGATAAACAAGGAATAAGGGTTGGAGAGTAGCTGTGAATTGCAGTTTCAAAAGATGTGCAGCAAGCATCATTCTTAAAACGGTTCCTCCTATTGTGGTTAGGAGCTGAACACAAGCTTATGCAAGACTTTTACTTAAATTACTTAGGTTTAAACTATAAGTGACAGAATCTTTGCGGTGCAGCAGGTGTGGTCCTTACTGTGTGTCCCAGCGCAGCATGTGTAATAAAACAGGATAACGAAATAAGTGTCTTAACATTTTATTTGAAGGTTGCTTGCCTTCTATTTTGTTGGGACTGAAGAGGTCAGCAGAATGCAGACCAGTCTACTACAGCATTGTTACTTCTGAAGCTGGCTGGCTGGGGTTTGTGGTAGACAGACTTAACTAAAGCCTCTCTGCCTGAAGTCTCTCTAACTAAAGTCTTCACAACAATGAAGGTTGTGCAGCTGTGACCAGGGCAGAATCTCAGGAAACAGGAAGTAGAGAGCACATAAGGTTATATGGTTGTTGGAAGGATGTTAACTGCTGATGAGCTGGTGAACTTATTTGGTCCAGTGTTTGCCATTCTGTTTGGGTTTGGATTCCAAATCCCACATACCCCCTTTTCTCACTTATGCCTTTAAAACAAGCTTACCCGAAGTCCATATTATTAAGCTGATGCAGAAAGACTTAGTGACCTCTGCCTTTTGAAACCCATCTTTCATGTATGCCTCCTTCTCAGGAACTCTTGTCTTTGGGTTGTTTTTATTTATTGCTATTTTATTATTAAAATATTTTCTCTATAGCCTGATTATTTTTTTCCCTTTTGTTCAGTGATACATCAGTTATTTAATTGTAATGCTGTTGTGAGGGCCTTTTACTGGAGGAGATCAGCATCATTGCCATCAATGATGAGCACAAATCAATCTTCAAATAGAATGGAGGGGGATTTTTTTTTAACTTAAAAATCCTGTGTGTATTAGAATTTGACACCTGTGAATCAATCTGCATCTTGTCTGCCACTGCTGCATTGAATCCTTCCTAGATTACCCCTTCACAGGGGAAAAAATGCATCAAAATGACCACTTAAGGCGCAGCACAGATCCTGTCAGAAGTTGTGAAAAGTGAACTTCGTGTAATAGATCTAGTGTGCTACCTCCAAGATGATGCTTTGTAAGCTTAAGTTGGAGAAACAGTAAGCCTTTGTAGATGTTTTCTTTAAAAGTTAAAGAAATCAAGAGATTTTGGTTTTGCTGCACATTTTTTTAATCTTTCAACATGCACTGCATTGGGACCCTGTACTCAAAGAATCCCATGGAGAATGATTCAAGTGCTGCTCCCTCTGTATCTTGGCCTGTTCTTGGTTTTTCTTTCTGGATTAAACTACTAAATCAGAAAGCACTGGTTATGTAATAAATTACTGCATTGCTTTGGTTGGGTAAAGCAAGAGTTAATAAATTTTCTTCGTTTTTAGGTTTTTGTCCTTAACTCCTCCTGAGGTCATAGCAACCTTGGGCTAAGCTTTGCATTCATCATACTGTTAAATAAAACAAAATGGGGGGGAGGGGAGGGGATACAGTCCCACTATTGCCTACCAGTAGGAGAGTCCAAACAGAAGACTCTTTTGAGTAGCAATTATTTAATTTGCCCAGTCAAGGCACCGCGTTTATATACTATTTCACATTGAATTTGATTATGCCCTACAGACCTGGCTGGTCAAGGATTTGATACACATATTGGCTTGGGATTCGAGCTTTCTTTTTTATTTAAATAAAAATTTATATGTAAATATATATATATACATATATACATAGTTATATCTGTATATATATTGGGTATGTTTTAAGAATTTTTTCGCATGAGCGCAGCTGTTGTGATCAAATGTCTGGGAGGTAGAAGCACTGAATGAAAATAAAAGCATTTTCCAGCGCACACACCCACACTTTCCATATGTCTTCACACGGGCTTATTTCACTCTCAGTTGAACCTTGGCCTCTTGATTGCCAAATAGTTTTGAAGCTTGCTTTTTCTATTTTTTTTTTTTTTCCTTCTAACCCCTCTGAACTTTTGGCAACAAATTATCTTTGTACTAGAATAGTTCCATCTACACCTTGTCCCCATCCATCCGTGTCTCCTGCTTGAGGCCAGGCATTGCAACTGCTCCACTTTGAGCAGAACTAGGATGGTGCAGTTCTAAGCCTATCAGGTCTGTTTCTCCTTTCTCTGCTCTGGCCATGGTGATGATTAACATGTTCCCCTGGCAGCCTGCTTACAAGTCAGATGACGCAGGCACCCATGCTCTCTTCCATCCTTTAGTGTGGAGCACCACCATCAGGTTAGTCTTTTCATTTTTAATTAGTCTGTTCTTCCTGCTGTGTCTTTATTAACACAGAGAGCTTATTTTAGTTCAGATAATTAGTGCAGTATTCTAATCTAGGAGGACAAGCCCAGGATGTACATTTTCGACTGCAGTAATTTTTGATGTAAAATGAATTTTTGAAGACAGTTACATGTTTGAATCTACAAATTCGTCTTCAACACTAGAAAGAAAATCTGCAGGGGCAAAAAACTTTTCACCTTTTATTTATTACCTGTGCCAGTTAGTTTCCTTGCCAGGTTAGGGATTAATTTTTTCTCCACTTCCGCTCCTGAGAGGATTTATGCAGCAAGAGCTATTCAGATTGCTGGCCTACATAGGGTGAATACTTCTAAAACCTGTGGATTAGAAGAGAGATCTTACTGTTGTTTTTTTCCCCTTTATCCAGCTCTCCATTCTGTACTTTGTGCACAGTGTCCTTGTCATCAGTGTATCCAGGTGAATGCCCTGTTTGCCCAGTATTATAGTTTGGCTTGTTAAAGTTTAATACCTAACAGTATTGATTTTTGGCTTTGTTTTTTCCCATCCTCCTCTTAGCCATTTTATGCTTTTTTGCAGAAGTTTAGTTGACTAAACAAGTCAAACAGCAAAATGCAGTGCATGCTTTTATGTCTTTTCAGGAAGCTCTCTCTAAAATGTACCCTTTGTGGAAAAGCATGCTAGTAGAATTGGGGGGACAGATAGCTCTATGTATAATGGAAACATTGATGGTTACAGTAAATGAGCAGGTAATGAGAATTTCTGCAATAACTATCCTGCTACATGCATGTCTATAGCCATTTTCCTAGTTGTCCATCTCAGTAAAATTGGTCTCATTTAGAAAGTGGTTTAGTTCCTTCTACCTGGGTGAGAAGAAACAGTATTATTAATGGTATTAGGGCACTACTTCATCATTTGGTAGGTAGGTTAAATTTTCCCTGGCAAGTAGACAGTTTTGAACCATCACTGATACCTGGGTTTCAGCCTCAGCATGGGCAAACCCCCCCCCCCCCCCCCCAGAACAGGAAGCTTTAAGTGTTAGGTTAAGCTATAGTATGTCAGTGATTCAGGCGGTGTAGAAATTGTTTATTCTGTAGTGTTATTTTCCTTTTTCTGTCAACATCTGTTCATTTCCTACAACCTAGTTCTCTTAAAAGGAGAAATTTGTGCTTTTTATTCTGTTCCTCTTGTATACTGTGGTATCCTGTCCCATTTCAGAGTAGGACTTTTTTTTTAATTTTGATCACCCACCTTTCAAACTTGCAGCACTGTTACCCCTTTGTTCTCAAGGTCTTCTCTGTTTTTTTCTGAGCCTTGTTCTCTCCCTTTAGTCCATGCACTCCTTCCTTTCCTTCTGTGGCTTGTCCATTCACCCTCCCTGGTTGTGTAACAGTGACAGCTTGCTGCCTCAAAACAGAGCATTCAAATGAATTCGCTTAGCCAATAACTTCTGTGAAGTTGCCTTTTCTAATGGTGTTATTACTCAGTGATGCACAAATGTGATATTCCCCCTACTGGTAGGCAAACGGGGGATCTGTATAAACATGGTAAACTGCTGTTTTTCTTTAAAGGAGAGCCAAAGACTTGTGCTTTACGCTTTTTTTTCTTTCCCCTGGTGTAGCCATTTTGATTGTCAAATCTTTGTAAGGGGTTTGTGAGTTGACTGTATTATCCTAATAACAATTTACAAATAGTGATTGTCAAGCCTTATCCATGCATTAAATTGTGGAAAATCATTCTGTTTAGTCATAAAATTTGCGATGTACTGAGATGTATATAGGGTATTCTGACATGTTTTCAGTCTCTCTTGCATTCTCTCAACTGACAGAATGGCTCATTTAGAGAGGGAGAAGGAATGTATGAATCTTATGTAATCAAAGAAGCCTTGTCTTTAAGTGTTTAAATTGAATACTGATTTAAAATTTCTTCAGTTACACTAAAAGGTAAATCTGTGTTGCAAATGTTACTGACTTTTAAGCCCATTGGAACTAAAAAGACTTGTCAAATTGTAGCATTACATTAAATTAGATGTGGAAGAAGCAAACTTGTATGATGATATTGTCTCTTGACAGCAGAAATTGAGTTAGGTGGGGCAAATTCTATACTAGAAGGTGGTAGGAGTGAGGCTTTTCATTGATAATACAAGAAAGCTGCTTGCATGTCACTTTCTTGATCTAACTTGAACTCTTGCAGACTGTTACTGTTTAGGTTTGGAAAGAAATCTGTAAGTCAGAGAAGCATAAACCCTCATGTCCATTGCCATTTCCATTTAAAAATTTGGGCTGTAATGAAGCAGACTTACAAGATAGTTGTCTGAAGAACCCCAATATAAAATATCTTTGATTAACTAGCTATGGTCCAAGAAACTCAGTGCTATTGTCAGGGGGCTAAACAGCAGGAGTGCCAACTCATCATCTGTTCTAAAATGGGGGAAAAGAACCCGTATAAGCAGCGCACAAGTTCCGTGTTTGTCTGCATGCATATGAAGAAGTTTCTATAGTTCTAGAATAGATAGAAGGAGCACAGACCAAGGCTGGGGCGTGATGTTAGCTTCATACTTGAATTTTGTTATCATTCACTTTTCCAAAATACACACTTCTGTTGCTGCCTTGTAATGTTGATAGCACTGATACAAAACCACCCAAAAAAGTTAGTGTTAGCAGTTCAATTTTTGGATCACAGTAAGTCAGTTCCCCTGGATGGGAAAAAAAAAGAAAAACCAAATTCTTGAGTTGTCTGAAAGGTAATTTAGATGCAAACTGAAAAACATCTGCCTTGCTTGAGTTAAATGTAAGTTCTGAATTTATGAGGAAAGTGAAGCAGCTCTTCTGAGCCACTTTCTAGGTATAGCCTTGGTGCTAACAGTTGGGGGGTGGTTACTTGTGGTATACCAGCATACAGATTATATAGCACAAATTGGCTTGTTCTCAGATATAATCTGAAATGCCAAAAACTTTATTTAGAGTTCTCTTTTTCCATACTCAACTGTTACCAACTTCACTATTTTCTGTGGAAATGTCAGGGGGTGAAAGAGGCTCGAGTAAGTTAGTTCAAGTTACTTATACAAGTAAGTGACTGCAGGGAACATCATCCCAGCACAGTATCCTTTATACAGTTAACATGTGGTCTTTATTGCGTAGGAAGACGAACATAACTGTTCAGTGTTGTCACAGTCTTTGAGGCACTTCTTACGATGCAGGTAGAGCCTTGATTAGAGGGAAAGGAGAACAAACCTAAAATGATTTTTTCTGTATTTTATTTTCTAATGGCAAGTGTAATACCATACCATGGAAACTCCTTGAATGCTATGGTAAGCAAAGAAGGTACAGTTTTGAAATTTCCCAATAAGTAAAACGTGTAGGAATATGGATTTGTCTGTCAGGAACCTCCCAGTCATTTAAAGCTTGAAGTATGTGACCATAATAAAAATTGAATGCTGATAGTTTAGTAACCTAAACAATTAACTGATCTTTCCCAGGCAATCTTTGCAATTTCAGCAAGTTAATTATGATTTTAGGGAATGTTTAGGTGCCTAGCTTCGTCCAGCAAGGCAGGTACCTTTGGTCTGCCATCCACACACTGGATGTTTTCATATTCCAGAAAACGACTTATTCTAATTTCTGAAATTCTTAGGCAAACACAATTAACAACTTCAACCTGAAAGATACAGTTTTGGGAAAGATGGAAGGAACAGGTGCAACAGTGTCTCTGAAAGTAGAAAGTATTAGAGATGATGGAATTACATACAACATGTATATGGGGAAAATATATCTGTAAGCAAAAAAAATCTTGCGGAGTGCGGTATTTCAGTAATTACTTGCTTTGTTGTAATGTTAAAAAGATTTATTAATAGTTCAGTGGCAGACAGTACTCACAAGTCTTTGGCATCCAAACCAGATTGTGTATTGGATGGGTCCCACAACTGGATGTGTGCACTGACCTCTTTATTTCTAGCTTTTTAAAAAGAAACTTGGTAGCAGCATTTTGTATATGTATGAAGCCACTTGAGTCAGACAGGAGAAAAACCTGTTCATGTTACAGCTGCTGCACACTTTACAATTGATACCTTTAATTTGCAGCCTCTCTTAAGGGAAGCTGCTCTTACGTGGGCAAATCTAGCACATCAAATTACTACCATTTTTCTCTAAATTTGAGTTCTCATTACCCGTTTGGCCTCTGCTTGCTGTGTAAGCAGCCTCTATGTGAAGAGCTTTTCTTAAAATCAGCTTAGCAACTGTGCTGTTGCTTGGTTATTTTTCCCTGTTTTCTATAACTGGTAGCATAGTTTTGAGCTCTTTCCCCATTGTATTTGTTGCTATGGGGAGGAGGAGTTGAGGCAAGATGTATGTGAGGAGGGTGGAAGAGTCGTGGGATATTCTACACAGCAGCTCCCACCCCTCTTTGAAATCATCTGCTTCCAGTTGTGGGATTTCTTTA